AGCTCCGTCTTGTTGGAACGTCACAAGATTTTCATCCAGCTGATCATCATTCTCCAGAATTTCTGTGATCATGGGATCAATATAATCTTCCAAAACACATAAATAGCTGGCTCCAGTCAAAGTGCCAATTAAAAAAAAATGGATCAACTATGTGTTAAGTCGGTCGATAGCCGCACGGTTTAAGGCGTCAGTACTTAAATCGATGTGTGCTATCTGCCCGGATTTCGAATCCCACGGCCGGTAGACCGTAGATTAGCTATGCTTGTACGGAGGATTGGCACCCTCTGTGCAGGTATGGTAGGGTGGAAGAATGTTGGCTTGGGTCAATGTGAGAGATTAACACTGGTTGGCATTTGACCACCCCCCTAATTAATGAGTTTTTCCAGGTTTCCTTCATTCCTGCACCGAATTGTGGTTAGGGCACCAACATAAGTCGTTCCTGGGCGCAAATGCGGCCTGAATAATAAAAATATGCCGCCTCCTCTCCAGCACAAGTCTCCGATTTCTGGGCTAATTCTCATAGTTAGAATGAGGAGTAGAGATGTGGGTACACATGTTGCAAGTGACCCATTTTTAAGCACAACGTCAAGAACGCCGCCGGACGCACTACGGGGTTCCCGGAAGCCGACCCCTGCAGAGTGGCTCCAGGACCAGGGACTTCTGCCAACGACTACCAAGCTACCTACGACCGACTTCAACCACAAGGCACTCTCCAGCTACTCTCCAATGAATACTCACCCCGTCAGCACGTCTTTTCATACACAAGTTTTCTATACGCTAGTTTTCAATAAAATTATTTATTATTACCGTTGAGAGAACGTTTTATTCTTGCTGTACAGCGAAAGCGACCCTCAACTGGTGACCCCGACGTGATCTTTTCAACGAAAGTACGCGATTTTGTGCAATTAGAGTGGTTTATATTTCGCGCAACGCAGCAAGCAACACGGGCCTCAACGAGGAAATCCAAGTCGAAAATTATACCGCAACGGAAGTGAACCATGTCGCAGTGAAACTTCCACCATTTATTTCGGAGGATGCAGAGATGTGGATTCAGGTAGTGGACAGAAGTTTTCGAATAGCGCGTGTGACGAGTGAAGAAACAAAGTTTAACTAACTCGTTACTGCTCTAGAGAGGAACGTGATGAGTGAAGTGCGCGACCTGGTGATGAATCCACCCCAAGACAAGCCTTACTCCGCACTTAGGACAGCTTTAATAAGACGACTGAGTACGTCTCAGGAACAAAAAACGAGGCGACTCCTAGAGCGCGAAGAAATCGGGGAAACCGTCCCAGTTTTTGCGAAGATTAAAGGCTTTAGCAGGGTGTACCGTTTCCGATTCGCTCCTACGCACGCTGTGGATAGGGCGCCTGCCGTCTAGTGTCCAGGCAATTTTCGCGACACAGAAGAATGCCGCGTTGGACGATGTCGCGGAGCTGGCCGACGCAGTTATGGATACAGTAATGCCCGGCACAACGCTCCAGCAGATGGCCCAATCCAGTCCAAAAGACGAAAGACTGAATCGCATCGAGCAACAGTTAGTGGAGATGTCCCAGGCAATGGCGAAGCTATTCGCGAAGAGTGAACCGCGGCGACCGACGACGAGAACACCCAGATCGCGTTCGCAAGATCTATCGCGAAGCCGTGACAGTGACAGTGGTCAGTGCTGGTATCACCAACGTTTTGGTGACCGCGCTCGCGTGTGCCGCGATCCGTGTACGTATCGTCCGGGAAACGAGACGGGCAGTCGGTGATGGCGAACAGCGACCCGTGCCCGATTCCGCGCCGTTTGTACGTTACGGATACGTACTCCAAGGTCCAGTTTCTCATCGATACGGGTGCTGATCTTTGTGTATATCCGCGTGCACTAGTGAAATCGTCGCGATCGAAATCAACGTATGAACTTTCCGCGGCAAATGGAACCTCAATTGCTACGTACGGCACAGTGACAATGACATTAAACCTCCGGTTGCGTCGTTGTTTTACATGGCAATTTGTCGTCGCAGACGTCTCAAAACCGATAATTGGTGCAGACTTTTTATCTTTTTATGGACTACTGGTGGACGTGCGCAACAAAAG